ACAGTGCCGGGCACATAGTAAGTAAACTGCTTGTAAAGGTTGCTACCTTTACATCTGTGATCCTTGGGGTATTCTAGCCTGCACCCTGTTTCTTCATCCTCTATTCTAGGCATATAGGATGTGGTGTTCTTGGTTGTAAGCATATAGAAGCCATTTCCGGAGGATTTAAGCAGAAAAGGGATTCATTTTTAAGATTCTGGAGAAGCTTACAGAAGTACTGGGAAGGCTGGAGAGCCTGGGTTTTGGAACTGGATGGATCAAGGGAGGCTGAGAGCAGCCGGGACCCCAGCCCAGGACCAGCCCAGCAGGGCTTGGCAGGCTCCTCTGAACTCCCTTCTTTCTCCTCTGCCCTGAAAACCAAATGTTCCCTGGAAGCCTGGAAGAGGAGTCTCCCCTTACCTGGCACCTAAGGGCCAGTGGCTTTTGATCCACAATATGGGTGGGGCATATGGCTGGCTGGTCTGTGTGTGCCTGCATTATGTGCTGGGGGAGAGTGTTGGAATTAGACATTTGCTATTGTGGCTTTTACAGTGGGAGGTTCCTTCTGTCTCCCTGAAGACTCCTGTTGCAGGGAAGTCGCTGTTTATACAAAAAATCCTGGCAAAGTCTACACAGGAAACAAAAATGAATTGATAATGGTTCCTGTCCTTGAGATGCTCACAGACACACAGGGGTCAGTTTCTGGGCAAATAACCGTGACAATGACAGAGGCCATGGTGGAGGTGAGTACAAGCTCTAGGGCTGAGTTGGCAGAGAACCATGTGCCCCTTGACCATGGCAGAGTCTGAGCTATCCCTGTTCCAGGCCACCTGTGTGGCACAGCTGAGGTGCAGTTTGATGGGACTTGTTGGGACTGTCAGTTTGGTCCAGACTTGGAACTTGGGTGATGCTCAAGGTGTGACATACCTTCTCATGCTCATAAGATTAATGAAATTATGGATCTATATAGCTACTTCCTGGCCTGATTTATGTGTGTGTGTTCGTGTGTGTGTGTGTATGTGTCACCCCAGAGGTGCTCTTACCACTGAATACATCCCTAGCCCAAGTTGCCAAGGCTAGCCTTGAACTTAAGATCCTCCTGCCTCAGTCTCCCAGGCTGCTGGGGTTATAGGTATGAATCCTCAAGCCTGGTGTGTCTTATACCCATTTTGCTGTATCCTTGAATTATCTCTTGCCCTCTTGGGGCCTCAGTTTTCTATCTGGATTTGAGAGTAGAATTTCCCAGGATGAGATGGGACATTTTATTTATTTATTTATTTTTGGCAGGGGGACAATGTGTTTGATGTGGGAAGACATGGTTGTTGTGTCCTGGGCCTCTTTTCTGTGAGCTCATTGCCTGCCCCATTCTCCATCTCAGCCTGTATCCTTCTATGTTGCCTATTCTTGTCTCTGCCTGTTCCTGACCCTGCCTGTCACCATCACTACCTTCCCTGTGGTCATCACTGCCTGCTCCTGTCTCAGCTTGGCCTTCATCCCCAAAAGGACCCCAACTTCTGCCTTTGAGCCCTGGTCTGTTCTTCTTCTCAGCCATCCAGTTTCTCTGAGAACAGAGCTAGCACCCCTAGCACCCACTACACGCTCACACTGAAATGCCAGTAGCTCAATTCGCTGCATTCCGAATCCCACGGAGTCATCCTGTAGAGTCACCACTGGGAGGTACAGCTTGCGGAGGATCCCCCTTATCAGGTCTCCTAGGCCCCCAGGCCTGCCTGCCCCCCTCTTCCTCTTTGAGGCAACTTCAAATGTAGCATCTTCCTGTCTTCTCTCACACCTGCTGGGGCCTCAGCCACGGCAGCAGCCTGCCTGCCCACCTCTTCCCTCCCCAGCCAGAGAGGATGGCTGCCTGGCCAGGTATTTGTACCTGTTTTGAAACCTGAGGCAGGTTGGGGAGGAGTCGGGAAAGAGGCAAAGGAAAAGGGGTTTTGGAGGGCTGAGACACTGGAGGGAGGGCTTTAGGGTCTGAGAGGCATTTGGGCTTGAAGGGGAGGATGGTCACCGAGAGGAAGCAGTCTTGGGGGCCTTCGAGGGGAGCTCTGGCCTTGAAGAGGCCCTGGCTGTGCATAGGGCCTCTTCCTGTCAGGCGGCCAGGGGTTCCTGAGGACCTGGACTCCCTCTCTCAGGTTTCCTGTCTGCTGAGGGATCTGCACACTGCAGTTTGGGTGACAGGACCCTGAGGTTTCCGCAGCTGCCCAGGAAAGCCATCTGGGTGAAACAATGGAGGGGAGCCCCCATTTTTTTGTGGGGATTGAACCCAGGGCCTGTGAGTGCAAGGCAAGCACTCCACCAACTGAGCTGCATCCCCAGCCCTGCCCTTTCTCCATGGAAAGAGGTGGCGCCTCCATTCTCCGTGACCCTGAGGAATCTAAATGTTCCCTAGGAACCTCCATGAGGATCTCCCTCTCTTTTCTCAAGCCACCTCTGCTTCTCACTTCTCATTGGTTAGTCTGCACTTAATGCCATTTCTGCACCTACCAGGAGAGCATCACTGGCTTCTAAATGTCGGCACCAACCCTTACACATCCACCAGGCCAACGCTCCATTTTGAAGATAGGGAAACTGAGACCAGGAGGGAAAGTGATCTGCCCATGGTCACAAGGCATGTTGGTGGAAGAGCCAGTCCTAGACCCCAGGCACCTTCCTGGAGTACCTTTCTGGCTCACCTTGACTCACCTGTCTTCCCAGTAGGTAGGGGTTGGGGCATGAGGGGAAAATCAGCTGCACAACTGGGTTGTTGCCACAAGACCAGGACCTGCCGGGAAAGGGAGTTCCCAGTCTCCCGGCTGACTTTTAGCTCTGCCAAGGCCTTCAGGTAGGATGGGGTCCCAGTCTTCTCTTTGAGGACAGTCTGCTGATGAAAGGAGGTGACATTAGGAAGAAGTGGAGGTGTCTGAATGCCTCCTTGGTCCTGAGTGTCCCCTCCTCTAGGCACATCATGGGGATATGCCCTTGAAGTTTAAAGACCCTGTGTCCATGCCATAGGGACCCAGACCCTCCTGTGGCAATAAAAAAGAGAAAGGTTATACAGAAGGCTTGGCTGATATGACCATGGCCTTGGGCTTTAGTGGGAGAGGGCTCAGGGCCATACTGTAGTGCTTACAGTCTTGGATGAGAATTTTCCCCAAGTTCACCTTGGTTCCATTTAAAACAAAGAGTAGAGGGCAGGGGATGTGGCTCAAGTGGTAGCGTGCTCGCCTAGCATGCGTGAGGCACTGGGTTCAATTCTCAGCACCATAAAAAAAATAAAGATATTGTGTCCACCTAAAACTAACTAACTAACTAACTAAATAAAACAAAGAGTAGATGATCTGAAATATACCAGAGACCAGGGTGATCAGGTGTAGGGGGCGGGGAGGGAGAACAGATGGGTGGTGGGGGAGGGGAGGACAGTCTTGCAGGGGGTGAGAAAGTCCTTTGGATGAAGAAAGGGGTACAATTTGAATGACAGATATGTGGGGTGGCAGGTCTTAGCTTCTTCAGAAACCAAACTAGAGGTGGGACCACCCAAGAGACCCCCAAGTCCCAGCCACCAGTCTCAGAGCCCCTTGCCCTCCAGGTCTTCTTGAACTTCGGGCCACTTCTAGGCACAGTGGATGCTTGAGGCCTGTCCTCTGCCAGCTGGATGTGTCCCTTGCCGCTGGCACCAGCTGGATCTGTCCTGCTGGCCTGCCACCAGAGCCTGTATCTGTGTGCCCTGCAGACAGCATCCCTAGGCACAGCCCCTCAGGGTCTTAGAGTACTCCTGGAGCCAGAGTGGGCTACACCTTGGGGGATGGTTGGGTGGGGCAAGGGAGGGGAGGGGACTCTGGTCACTGGTAAGGACAGAGCCTCAGGCATACTTCCAGGTTTTGGCCTGTGGGTCTGACTGCAGCTGCAGGGACTTCCCAGGTGGTGATACCTGAGCCAGAGGGGTGTACTGAGCTGGTGTCGCTGAAGTCATGGGGGGAAGAGCTTTGTCTGCCTAGAGTTTGAACTAGAGGAGTCAATTATAAGATAAGAACCCTGGGCTGGGAGACAGGGCTTAGGGTCATGTTTCTGCCCTTTCTAGTTCCATGGCTTTGTGCACATCCCTGAGGCCTGTTTCTTCATCCATAAAAGCTGATCTCATTTTTGCCTACATTCTCCGTTTGTGATAATACATCCTTTCCTTATGTGACTAAGACCTCCCAGAGGGCAGGGACTCTCCTTCTGTGTCCTTTATTTCTGGGATCCCAGCACAAAGCAGAGTGAGACAGCACAGCCAAGTCCACTGAGTGAATAGGTGAGGATCCAACTGGAGAATCTACTTTTAACTACTCTTTTCTTTTTAGTCTTTTACTCTTTTCTTTTCCATACTGGGGAAATCCAGGGCCTCAGCAAGCGCTCGACCACTGAGCTCTACCTACTGCCCAAACATTTTACTTTTTATCCCTCTGTGCCTTTTTCTTAACCTATTATATCTCAGTTTCCCTTGCTAGCTGTTCTACTTACCTCCTAAATATTTTCATATCTAGAGTCCTCCCCTTCTCTCCTCTCCTCTTCCTTCTCATCTCCTCTTCCCTTCTTCTCTTGTCTTTCCCATCCTCTCCTCCCATCTTCTTTCCCCTATCCTCTCCTTCCTCTCTTTCCCTCTCCTGTTCTCATCTAGAATAGCACTTTTTGATAGGACTCCTCATGACAGTGGGCCTAGTCTATGTCTATGCCACTCAATACTATAACCCACTGTGTACTTTAAGTGTGACTAGTACAGCCAGGCACAGTGGCACATGCCGGTAATCCCAGTGACTTGGGAGGCTGAGGCAGGAGGATTGCAAATTTGAGGCCAGCCTCAGCAAATTAGCAAGATCCTAAGAAATTTAATGAGACTCTCTCTTGAAATTTAAAAACAAAAAGGGCGGGGGGAGCTGGGGATGTGGCTCAGTGGCAAAGCACCCCTGGGTTCAAGTTCCAGTTAATTAATTAATTTGTTTACAAAATTAATTAATTAATTAATATAATAAAATAAAAATAAGTGTGACCAGTAAAAGTGAAGAACTGAATATTTTATTAAATTTTATTTTAATGTCAATTTAATCCCATGGGTTTGGACACAGATCTGGCATTACCGTATGTGATCTCATCTGAGCCCCTGGCATCCCAAGTTCTGTCTCCAGCTAGGCCCTCTCCTTTCAGCCACAAACCAGCTGATCCAACTGCGCACTTGACTTCTTACCCTGGATATCTGTCAGGCTTCTTGAACTGTTTTCTCTCCCTGAAATTGTCAACAGGAATGCGAGCAGCTTTCATTGGCAAGTGCAATAGCTGGGGAAGGGAGAGGTGCCTTGCCCAGGGGGCTCCACCCAGCTTACAGGCCGGAGTTCTTTTCCAGCCCTGGACTGGGCAGGTCTGATGTGGGACAGACGTTTACTCCAGGCTGTGGGGGCTTCACAGTCTTCTCTTTTCTGCTCAGGGCACCCGCCACTGGGGCTGCATGCCATCTTCACCGATGATGAGAAACTTGCAGCCAAGTACCACCTGAGCAGGAATGAGATGGGCAACCAGCCAGAAAGGGCTGGCCAGGGGCCATTCTTCCCTCCTCACAACAGCTCCTCCCCGACCCTCTGGCTGAATGGAACGAGTCCTGGCCCCTCAGTTTTCTGCCCCTGCCCTCCTCTCACCCCCATCTCCAAGGAGCTTCTACTCAGCCTCCACCCCTTCTATCCTGGGTACCCTCTGCTCCTGCCTCCACCTTACCTGTTCACCTATGGGGCCCTACCTTCTGTCCAATGTCCCCATCTCTTCATGTTGCCCCAAGACACTTCCTACTCCACCGTGGCTGCATCCTGCTTGCTGAGGACAGTCAATGATCCTGAGCACTACAGTCCCCAGCGGGAGACCTTGCTTCTGTACCCTGGGGCCCTCCAAGCCTCTGGCCAAACCCTGCCCTCTCAGGCTAAGGATCGAGACCCAGGAGCTGCCCAAACCTCCTCCCTGGGGATGGGGAGTGCTGGTGTGGCAGCTCCAGCAAAGCGGACCCCTCTGGGCTCCAGGGAAGGCACTGCAGGGCTGTCCTACCCGCTGAAGAAAGAGAACGGCAAAATCCTGTATGAGTGTAATGTGTGCGGCAAGAGCTTCGGGCAGCTCTCCAACCTCAAGGTATCTGCCTCCTGGGCTCTGCTTCCCCTTCAACCCTCCCATGCCCCTTAACCTCCCCTTAATGTCTCTCAGGGAGGATTCTAGAAACCTCCCGGGTTCTAAAATCAAGGACTTGAAAGCTGGAAGGCACTCCTGGGCAGCCTCTAGGTCCATGTGACCTTGGAACTGTTCATCTGTCCAGGTGGAGACACAGCATAAAATGGTCGACTCAGTCCTGTTGGCCCTCGAAGTCTGCCTCTGTTAACAAGGGAAAATGAGGCTCTGTGAGCAGGGTTTTCCAAAGTTACTGTACCGCAATGCGGGGGTTAGCTTTGATATCAGTCTCTCAACACCTAGTGCAAAGCCATTTCCTGGACAACCATTTTTTTTCTGGACTTCCAGTTAAGACTGTTTATTTATTGAAGGTCAGATGAGGGATGGGTAGATTTGGGTGAATCTATACCACAGACCTGACGGTCAACATTTTTCAAGGGGATGCTCATTATCTGTACCTTCCAGCAGGGGCGCACATGGCCCTATCTCTGTTAAAAAACCCAGATTGGCATCCACTGGAGTTGAGGAAAGTAGTGGTTATTGGGGAACAGCCCTGCTGGATCCTCTAGGGCAGGAGTTCTTAAACTTTAACCAGCCTCAATTCACCTGGAGAGCTAGTAAGCCTGTGGATTCCCAGGCCCGCAGATTTTGAGATTTGACTCAGCTCCGCTGGTGGGGGGAGGAGCTGGGAATCTGCATTTTACATGCTCCCAAGGCAATACTGATGCCACTGGTCTGTGGACCATCCCTGAGCAGCAGGGCTCCAGGACACCTGGGCTACTCTTTACTTGACCTCCTTTTCCCTGCCATCTCTCTTGCAGGGCAGTGGGAGTATCTGGGAGTGATTGACAGGCTCTGAGGGAGGTGATGGGAAGGCAAGGGGATGGAGAGTCCTGGATGCCAACAAGGGGTCCTGTGGGGATGTGGGAAGAGGTCTGGAGAGGACCCCAGGTCATGCTGGGGGCTCTGGGCAGCGTCATCCCATCCCTGGCTCAGGTCCACCTGCGTGTGCACACCGGGGAGCGTCCATTCCAGTGTGTCCTGTGCCAGAAGAGCTTCACTCAGCTCGCCCACCTGCAGAAGCACTACCTGGTGCATACTGGGGAGCGACCCCACGAGTGTGTGGTGAGACCCTCTTCCCCTCCCCTGTACTCCTGTAGCCTGGTGAGCAATGCTAGGCCCTGGAGGGTGGCACCTGGGCCTCCATTCTTCAGTCCCCCTGAAAAAAAAAAAAAGAGAGAGAGACAAGAAAGGAAGTGGGACATTGGGACTAGGGAAGGGAGCTAAGGCAGGATGAGTCTGAGCCCTGTCATCTTGGAATGAATGAAATTGGAGGAGGGAGTTGAGATGTATGTCTGTGAAGGGAGAAAAGTCAAGTTTGGGTCCTGGAGAATGCATCCCGTTACCCACTTCCCAGGGTTGTTGATCAATGTAGGTCCCTCCTTCAAGTGTGACCCCATCCCTTGCGAGGTCAGAGAGCAGGAATTCTCTCCTCCTTTTACAGGGGCGGAGATGAGCCTATGAGTCTAGGCTACAGGATCAGATTACTTATGTTCAAATCCTAGCTCCTCCTCCAATTTGCTGTGTGACTTTTGGATAGGGGCTTCACTCTTCTGAACTTTTGCTTTCTCAATAGTTGTGTTAGTACCTAGTTACACTTCCCTAGAAGTGTAACTACACTCCTCCAGAAGACTCTGTGAAACCAATTTCTGGCATGTTCAGCCCCCAGTAAATGTTAATTACATCCACTGACGCTGCAGCCTCACGCACAGGGTTCTATATGATTAACTCATTCAAGCTCCCCTAACTATGAGGTTAGGAGTTACTAGTCATATGTTACCAATAATGAGAGGAAGGCTAGAGAGGAGTCACAGGAAGTAAAGAACTCCAACCCCCATCTGCCTGGCTCTAATGTGCCAGATACTGTGGGTTCCAGGGAGAAATCACCAGGGAAGTCTTCCAACCCTGCATTGACAGGGAGGCAGGTAGAAAGGGGTGTTTTCAAGATGGGGAGGAGGAGAGACATCCTGAGCCAGCCCAAGGCCAGGGCTGATGCCGGTGCCATTTCCATCAGATGTGCCACAAGCGCTTCAGCAGTTCCAGCAACCTCAAGACCCACCTGCGCTTGCACTCCAGAGCCCCGCCTTTCCAATGCAGTGTCTGCCCAAGACGCTCCGCCCAGCACATTCATCTGAAGCTGCACCATTGGCTACACAAGCCCCAGCCCTGCAACCTCTCTCACACCCACTTGCCCCTGGCCTCTCTCTCCTCCTGCCTTGCCCATTGGCACCAGGGAGCACTAGATCTTGTAATGGCGCCATCAGAGAAGCAGACGAATGGCCTGAGACATGGACAAAGTCAAGGTGTCCTCAGCATCCCAGGGAAAGCCAGGGTAGCCAGCCTGAGTGGTGGCACCAGGATGGCCCTGGGAAATAGGCAGGGGCAAAGCAATTAAAGGATTTTCTCAGTGACGAGTTGGGGCCTCCTGAATTTCTCCAGTGGCGGGGGAAGTCGCCATGTATTCACCAGATCTTACATCTCACATCTCACCTGGGAGCAGGTCAGGGGACACAACTGCAAAGAGGCTGGGTTCCTGAAGCCATCTACCTCGGGCAAGGTTTGGTTCCATTCGTGGTCTATGACCTAGATGGAACCAAGCCCTCCATCCCAACTCACCGATGGACAGTCCAGCCCTCCAGGACTCTGCCAGGTGCAGACCATGCTGCCTGCCCAGCAAGGGGCACTTTGCCATCCTTTCCAAACAGCATTTCCAACACCTGCCCAGATGTTCCTTTGCTGCTTCCAACCACCTTTCAATCTCACAGCTCTACTCAACCACCATGCCCTCTCAGTTGACACTCCCTGTTCCTCCAAGATATCACTGTCCACCGTTTTTGGGGAGGGCGGTCATGGGGTGGAGTGGTACTGGGAATCGAATCCAGGGATGCTTAACCACTGAGCCACATCCCCAGCCCTATTTTGTATTTTATTTAGAGACAGGGCCTCTCTGAGTAGTTTAGGGCCTCATTAAATTGCTGAGGCTGGCTTTGAACTCCCAATTCTCCTGCCTCTCCTGAGCTTCTGAGATTACAGGTGTGCACCACCAAGCTTGGCATCACTATCCACTCATGACCCAAAACTTGATGTCCCCTCTGTACCAGGACCAGTCACCACAGAGGGCAAAGGCAAAGCGAGAGGCGAGTTCAGGGAAGGAGTGGACGCGGGGTAGGGCTGCAGGCCAGAAGAACTATCAAAGAGAGCCTGGGGAATTGGGGCCCTCTTTGATAGCCTTTCTCCCCTGCGGTCCCCGGGGATCCTGTCAACTGTGCAAGGTGTTCCTCACCTTGTGAGTCAGACAGGCAGAGTCAGGTGTGGAAGGGCACAGGCTAGGAGGCAGTAGGCCCAGTTTATAGCCACCATAAACTAAGGCTATTATTAAAGACAAATTTTCACAGACGGGTTCTCTGGTCGACTTCCGGCAGAGGGCGCCAGTCGCGGCCCCAGTCGTGGGTTTCGGAGTGGCTTTCCCGCCGCGGTGCGGAGGGAGGTCCGCGCTGTGTCACAGGCAGCTCCAGGACCGAAAGGGAGAGTGCTTTCGCAGGGTACCCACCACGGAGGGGCCACGGCAGTTTGGCTTCGGCCCCACCAGTAGAGCAAGTCCGGGGTCTAAGCCACCTCCTCGCACCCTTGGCCCTAAGCGGGCCGGCAAGCTCCCCGGCTAGGCCCCGCCCACTCGACAAGGGCACGCCCTTTCCGACCCGGCCCCGCCCCGCCCCGCGCAGGTCCGGCCTTGGGGTGCCCCTTGCTCAGCCGCGCCTCCCGGCCCCTGTTCACCGCAGGTTCCTCTTCCCAGTCCCACCTGGTGCGGGTCCAGCCCCTCCAGTGCGCACACCGCATCTGCCCCTGGCGCCTCCGGAGGCCTGAAGAAACAGTGCGGACTTGGCAGAGAGCAGGGGCTGCGAGTGGGGTGGTGCACAGCCAGAGTCCCTGGGGTTGGGCAGAGGTCACCCCCTGCCCCAGGGCATGGACAGCACCTCGGTCAGGTCCCCGCCCGGGGCGGGCCGAGCGGCTGTTTGCTAAGGGGGGCGGGCCGGAGGCGTTTCTCCGCCCAGGCAGCGGATCCGGGTGCTGCCAAGCGCCCCATGGTCCAGTTCCCTGGCTTGGCCCCGCCATGACCGAGCGGCGCGGGGGCCTGGGAGCCCACTTGGCCCGCCTGCTGGCTGGACTAGGGGTCCGAAGGGAGCGCAGGGGGAAGGAGACCTCAGAGGAGGCCCGATCCCGGGATAGGTGAGGGAAGATGGAGAAAGGCCTGCCGGGGCACCCCAGGCAGGTGTGTGTGTGTGTGTGTGTGTGTGTGTAATGAGTGTTCAAATAAGCGTGTATGAACGTCTCAGAGCACAAATATATGTGTGGATGTGCCACAGTTGGGATCTATGAATGTGGAACATCCTTGTTTTTTTTTTAATATGTGGTGCTGAGAGTTGAATTTAGTGCCTCACACATGCCAGGCAAATGCTCCACCACTGAGCTACAACCCCAGCCCCAGCCCTGGGCTCCTTTAAAAACCTTAAAACAACTGACAATTTCCTAAGCCAGGTGGGCACCTGCACAGGATTTCCTCCCCAGAGATAGTTTAAAGGCAAATATTCAATTCCTCCTGCCGCTGTGGATTTTGATTCTCACATCACTGGCCAATGTTCCTGTTCTTTGAGTTTCTTTGTCATGAGTTTTGACAGGTTTGTGGCATTTGCCCTTAGACACTCCAACAGGTTTTCCCCTGTCATTCCTGCACCTGGAGATAGCTTTAGATTGTAATAACAATAAACCTTTATCCGTCACTTGCTTCATACTTTACCTGGATTGCTCAGTGTAATCCTCATGGCAGGTCTATAAAGCAGGCATTCCCTGTGATTCGGATCCGGAAATGGAGGGTCAGAGAGGTGAAGTCACCTGCCTAAAATCACACAGTTGGGAAGTGGTGGAGCTGGGATACATACTTCAGCAGCCAGACTCCAGAGCTCAAGTCTGTCCTGAAGCTCTGGTGCTGCAGAGACTGCTGGATTGGCACCAGGGGGCCCAGGCTCCAAACTCTGGGTGTCACTGGCCAGGTGACTTTGAACAAGTTAATTCACTTCTCTGAGCCCATTCGTGGTAGCTGTCTCAGTGGAAGGAAAACACCATTGCTGAGCGCAATGGCTGGGCGAATACTGGAAATCCAAGAGAGCCCCAGTAGCTTACAGTCCACATCCTCGAGGAGCGTAGGGTGTGCTGTCAGGCACAGGGTGTTTGTGTGTCTATGCAGTTACCGGGCAATTTGTTCTGATCTTATCATGACACAGCTGTCTCTGGCCTGCCCCAGGAGGGGTAAGGGTGTGGTGGGGCAGAATAAGGGGAGGGGCTTGTACTGCTCTCTCACCCTAGAGAGGAGAGGCGGGCCCAGCCACCCTATGCCTGGAAGCCTGAGTGCCCTGAGGTGCCCACACCTGGCTACTGCCCTGCCCACCTGGAAGACACACCCTCCCCCTTTACTCTCTCTGGCAGAAACCTGCCCTATAGTCTCAGGCAAGCCTCCCTCTGCTTCTCCCCATGGAGAGGAGGCTGGCTTGGGATGCAGGTGAGTCAGGACTGAGCAGGGCAGGGGATGGGCTGCAGGGCCAGCGTGATGACACATGCCACGTGTACACTTATACTCAGTTCTTCTCAGCCGTGAGAATGGGACCCTGAACTGAGGCTCAAGCCTCTGATCCTGCAGATTACCTAGGGAGGGGGTCTGGAAGGACAAAAGCACTTCCCCATATTGTCCCCCTTCGTGTGGTAATGTCCAACCAACACTAGGAGTGGGATAAACCTGGTGGCCTAACTCCACATCAGACTAGTTGTGTGGCTCCAAGCAAGTCACTTTGCCTTTCTGGGCCCCGATTTCCTTGTCTGAAAAATGAGAGCACCACCTAAGCATCCACCTGTTAGGATTACTGTGAGGCTCAAAGGTGATTATTCAGACACAAAACCTAAAGCCCAGTCTGGCACACAAGGACCTCAGCAAAGGTGGAGCTTTGGGGTCATCTGGGCACTGATGTCTCTCTTCATCCTGGCCCTGACACAGGCCCGGGCTTCATTTTGATCCCAGCCCAAGCTATCCCTTTCTCTGCCTCTGGGGGAGAGAGCCAGGGAGGTTGGGACATTTGAGGGCTCATCCTAGCAGGGTGTGGGCTCTGAGAAATGGTGGGGAAGAGGGCTGGGCCCAGGCCAGAGGAGATGGTGTTGGGACGGGAGAGGCTGTTCTATTCCTTTCCCCTGTGCTTCCTTCCTAGGCCCTGGGGTGGCCAGAGCTGCCCTGACCTGGCCCAAGGCCAGGGCAGCATCAGCGATGTCAGCCTCAAGGTAGGAGAGGACCCATAGGGGAGGGAGGAAGGGGACAGAAGCTTGGGGAGGGCTGGGCAGGTGCTGAGAACCCTGACTTACAAGTCAGACAACTGGAGTTCCAGTACTTCCTCTACCACTGATTCACTGTGTGACCCTGGGCAGATTCTTTCCGTCCTCTAAACTTCTATATCCCTGTCAGCAAAATGGGTACAATAATGTCTGTCTCAGGACTTTGGGGAGAAATAATGTAATGGATGTGAAAATCCTAAACGGGCCTGGATGCTCAGGATACATGTGCTTCCTAATAATGGGGTCCTTGGGAGAGGCATGGAAATACAGATCCTGTTTCCAGAACCCCCTTCTCCCAGCTCCTTGACTTCTGCATATCTTTAGCTCCTCTTTTCCCTTATTTCCTGGCATAGTCACCTAGAAGTGACACTGGGCCTGTGGCTTGACCTTCTGGCCAGAGTATCCTCTGCAGAGGGGACCCAAGTCATGAACTGGACATGACCAGTGTTATTGGAGGAACAGAGACAGCCTCCTCTGGAGGTGGCTCAAGCAGCCACAGGGCTCTCTTTGGTCCTCAGTACCACGAGTAATTACTAGTGTTTAAATGAGCACTCATTATGTGAGGTGCTCTGCACGGATTATCTCGCACAATCTGCACAGCACTCCCAGGAGGCAGGTGCTGTTAATATCACATCCATGTTACACATGGGGAAACTAGCTAGTGAGTAGCAGAGCTGGGCTTCAGGCCCAGGACACCTCCACCTGGGCCATCACACCGTTCTACTCTGCTCTCCTGAGGTGTCCAGTCCTTGGGGTGCTACAGCTGCATCTATTTCATAGCTGAGTAATTAAAGCAATTGAGACCAAGGGCCCCTGCTAGGAGGAATTTTGACCCCAGATTTTGTTCCTTTATTACCAAGGACACAAGCCTATCCTTGAAAACTGGTAATTTGGGGGCGGGTGTCCATATGGGTCTGGAATCCTGAGCTCTCTCCCCTCATTCCCATCTCAAAGCAGGACTAGGGAAGACAGACAGAGGCCAGCTTCAAAGGAACCTTCTTCCTTTCCCCATCATGTCTTTGGTTTATCTCTATGCCCAGGT